GCGGCGAATCTGCCTTTGGAAAGGAAATCATGGGTTCAGCACCTAGCCGGGCTGACATTCATTATAACTGAGTCACTAGCGGATATCACATGTTTTGTGGTTTATTTATTTTTCTTATAATACGAGAACCTTCTTTGTCTTGATAACGCAGGTTTCTATCTCTAAATATTGTAAGAGCAGAGGAACTTCATTTATTGATACCTAAAACAATATTTGAGTAATGAGCACTGCAGAAAAAAAGAAAAATAATATTAAAAAAAACTTAAATGTTTCAGATTTTAAATTACGCCTAAAGGGGCATTTTGCTAACATTTGTCTGTTACTTTTATTTATTAAATATTATGTTTTTCGCACTTAAACCATAAAATTCATTTCAAGAGCAATATCGCAAAATAGTTTTAAATTGAGCATATCTTTAGAATTTCCGACACAGAGTCCCGCGTGTTGGAGGTAATTTTTTTTTTAAATACAACGTTACCATTGCTCGCTTTGAAATCCTTGAATTTGTTAATCAAATATTCGTTAAAGTTTCACAAAATATGAAATCAATAATAAAACAAATTCCAAATTTCAAATTTGGGCTTCCACATGCCCATATTCGCAGTAAGATTACGTCATTCAAAATTCGATGGCTCTGTGTACCATTGTTTTATCACAATGCGAGAAATATACATACATTTATGCAGATTTTTCATTATTTAATTTCTTCAAATACAATGCAGGATGTTAACATTTGGTGGCAACAGTTTAAAAAGTGAAACGGACATTTATAGTGAACAAACGCAAAATCGCAAATACAACAGTCCTTCAGGGACAAAGCCCCTTTGAAATATAATAAATAAATTTTAAAAAAAAAAAGTTATAGTCTTTTAGGGCAAGTTGCTCCTTTGGACTAAAAATCGGAAAGGCTTCAGATTTTAAATTACGTCCAAAGGGGCTTTTTTTAACCGTTTTGTGTGTTACCTTTCTTTATTAAATATCATATTCTACGTACTCAAACTATAAAATTCAGTTCAACAGCAATATCGCAAATTAATTTTAAAAAGAGCATATCATTAGAATTTCCGATGCAGAATCCCGCGCGCTGGAGATAAAAATTTTCTCCCCCCCCCCCTCCGTACGGTGTTGCCATCGCTGGCTTTGAAATTGTTTAGTTTTTTTTAAATAAAAAATTCGTTCAAATGTTACGAAATCTGAATTCGATAATAAAACAAATTTCGAATTTAAATTAGGGCTTCCACATGCCCATATTCGGATGAGAGTGACGTTATTCAAAATTAGATGGCTCTAGGTACGGTTGTTTTATCACAATGCGAGAAACATACATACATTTATGCAGATTCTTCATTATTCAATTTCTTTAAATATAAGACAGGGCGATAATATATGGTGGCAAAGATTTGAAAAGTGAGACAGCCTTTTAAAGTTTTCAACGCACAATGCCAAAACGAAATTAATAGTCCTTCAGGACAAATTACCGCTTGGGACTAAAAGAAAATCTGAAAGGTTTCAGATTTTAAATTACGTCCAAAGGGGCGGTTTTTTTTTTTTTTTTTTTTTTTTTTTTTTTTTTACATTTTGTGTGTGACTTTTATTTATGAAATGTCATGTTATTCACAGTTAAACCATAAAATCAAGTTCAAGACCAATATCGAAAAATAATTTTTAAATTCAATATATCTTTAAAATTGACGATACAGTCTCACGCGCTGGAGTTAAAACTGTTTTTTTCTGCACAATGTTGCCATTGCTCGCTTTGAAATCCTTGAGTTTGTTAATTAGAAATCAGTTAACGTTTTACAAAATATGAAATCGATAATAAAACAAATTTAAAATTAAAAATTTGGCTTCTAGATGCCCATATTCGCAGTAAAATTACGTCATTCAAAATTTGGTGGCTCTAGGTACCGTTCTTTTAATACAATGCGAAAAAAATACATACATTTAGGCAGATTCTTCATTACGTAATTTCTTTAAATATAATATAGGGCGGTAATATTTGGTGGCAACAGTTTGAAAAGTGATACAGCCTTTTGCCAAAACGAAAACAATAGTCCCTCAGGGACAAAACCTTTTTAACATTTTTGTGTGTTACCTTTTTTTATTAAATATCATGTTCTACGTCCTCAAACCATAAAGTGCAGTTCAAGAACAATATCGCAAAATAATTTTAAAATGAACATATCTTTAGAATTTCCATACACAGTCTCGCGCGCTGGAGATAAAAATGTTTTTTTTTTTTACCCCCTACAGTATTGCTATTGTTCGTTTTGGTATAATTGAGTTTGTTAATACAAACTTCGTTAAAGTTTTAAAAAATATGAAATTGATAATAAAAAAATTCTAAATTTTAAATTTGGGCCTCCCGATGCCCAAATTTTGCAGGAGGATTACGTTATTCAAAATTTGATAAATGTATGTATGTTTCTCGCATTGCGATAAACAACGGTACCTAGAGCCGATAAAAACAACGGCTCTAGGTACCGTTGTTTATCGCAATGCGAGAAACATACATACATTTATGCAGATTCTTCATTATTTAATATCTTTAAAATATAATACAGGGTGATAATATTTGGTGGCAACAGTTTGAAAAGTGAAACAACGCTTATAGTGAATCAACGCAAAATGCCAAAACGAAATTACGAGTAATAGTCTTTCTGGGCGAATTGCCCCTTTGGACTTAAAGAAAAACGGACAGTTCTATCTCCCATTCTTTAGGCCCGATTGATGGAATTCAAATTGCATTTTTCATATCTTGAAAGCGCGACTTAGGATATATATTAGATTTATATATAATATTAATCTGACATTGGTATTTTGACACAAAATCGGACTTTTTCTGAAATGACATGCCATTTTTTTTCTATATTTCGATTCTACGACTCAAATTATGCTTACATATTAAATTTTGTAAAATTTGGGGCGAAATTTACGGAGAAATTCAAAAATTTATCTTACCGCATTTTTTTTTTTTTTTTTTTTCAGATTGTGCGAAGAATAATTAATTCACTTGGCGAAGTTCTTAATATATGGCAAACTATTTTCCTTTCCCTTTTTACATTGTGCGTAAATGGGAAAAAAGGTCCCATCGTTCCTACTTTCAAATAATTTTAACAAAGTGCCTAAACCGCATTTGAAGTTATTATGGCTTTCAACAAATATACCAAATTTCAAAACACGCCAATATATATAAATTCATGTAAACTTCAGAAATTTGGAATAAAAAACTCTAATTTTTGTAGGTATGCTTAGAAATATATCTACTTTAAAATGATGGTAAAAATTATATAGATTATAATTTAAAATTTTTTTCGAAGAATTTATTAAAATTATTTAAAATACAAATTTAAAAATAAATCATAAAAATGGGTGAATTTTTATTTGGAATGAACCTAAATTTCGAAAATGTGATAGGAAGAATCAAAGAGATTAATAAATATATACCAAATTCAATTAAAATTGAGGAGTTAAAATTTTGAGAGCTACTTTTTTTAAAATTCCTCATGGCATTTTTATAAAACTTGGCAGTTTGGCATCATTTGAGTCGTAGAATCGTATAGAAAAAAAGTTGGCATGTCATTTCACAAAAATTTCCGATTTTATATCAAAATACCTATATTAGAACAATGTTGTATGCAAATCAAAGTCGCGCTTTCGAGACATGAAAAATCTTGCCATATGATTGATTTACGCAATATTTTAAACTTTCATATTCCTCCTCATATTCTGAGATTCATGGATTTTGGACCAACGGAGACCTTAGAGATGCTGTGCCATTTTTCATTATTTCTTGCCATATGATTGATTTACGCAATATTTTCATTTTCATCTTCCTCCTCATATTCTGATATTCATATACTTTGATTGTTTAATAATTAAAATTTTAGGGCATTAAAACTGTATTTGGTAATTATTAATTATTTCATCCCTTTCAGCGTTACGGCCGGAAAATTCCGCATAGAAGGGTGCCTTCTATATTCATTATACATGAAAATTTCTGCTAGTCTTTAATGTATCTGATTTCGGTTTGGATGTATATTGGAAGAAAAGGAATCAAGGTACAAAATGAGAGAGTCATTTCTTAATTAAAATCAAGAAAATACCACTTATTCATGACGTTTTGAGGAACTTTGAAATTTCAGGGCTAAACCCGTAACGTTCGGAGGGTTTGAAACACCAACATGTGTTTTCAATTCCTTTTAGTCTGCCGTTCTTTCGAATTTCAAACTAAATTAGTTTTCTGAATTTCTGTCACTTTTCATTCAACATTTTATGTAGTTTTTTCCGAAAAAGGACCTAATTTTAAATTATCGGACACATCGTTTGTGATAACCTTTTTGTGAGCCCAAAAATGCTATTAATCTCAAAATATGATTTTGCTTTTTTTCACATTTCATCTTAGTCTGCTGCGTAAGATATTATTTCATTAATATGTCTGTTACTGATTAACAAACTAAACCGTTTAAAAGCAATGAAGGAAGAATTTTTAAGATTATTATTATATATTATTTACATTTTAATTTGATTGGTTAAATAAATATGAATTTAGCTGTGATATATCTAATTAAAAATATTAAATATTTTTATAAAATTGCATTACATACTTTTCATTTTTTAAATATACAGAAAAGTGTGCGTGTGGACTTGCTGCTGTAAGGCATTGTACATACGTTTTACTTTTGAAAGTTAAAAAAAAAAAAAAATCGTTAAATTTTAGGAAACAAACTAACAAAATGAAATTTAAAAAATAAACTTTTAAAGAATTTGTTAAATAAAAAATAACTAAGTTTATAACAAGAATTTGTGGAATATCAAATCAAAATTATAAATATAGTAAATATAGGACGCCTAATATTTTCTGTAAATTGTACGCGAGCAAGTTTCTTATGTAACACTCTGCGCTCTGGAGAAGCCAATCATGCAGGAATAAAATTGCGGCAAACCTGAAAATAATAAACAGTATTCATGTCATGATCGAAACTAACGCTAGATGGCAGTGCAACAGTTTGACCGTGGCATTGCGGCACTAGCAGACTTATGGGATTGGGATAAATTCATTTCTGTATGTTTTGCTGTAAATATGTGATACTAATTCATCAAGTACTCAGTACATGCTCTTGAAGTTGTGGAAAAAAAAAAAGTCGACAGCATTAAGGTAAGTAACGGAATTTACTCAGAATTGTTCTGCATTCTAATTTCAGTGATTTCTTTTCTATTGCTTAGCTGAAGGACCGCCTCGAAGTTCAAATTTCACCAATGGATTTCATCGCTGTGGTTGTAATTTCGGAATCCTGATTGCTGTACTTTGGTGTAATATTTTGCTTAATGCTGTGTCTGTCGTAGATTTTTACATACAAAGGTTTTTTTTTTTATTTGAATCAATTTATTTCATGTAGTTTTTAAAGACTTGAGTGTCAAATTCCAAGGTTATATGTTATGCCATGCGCGGGATGTTCAAGACCAATTAATGAAGTGATTATTAGTATTTACGTATTAATCGTTTCTGGAAAATCAGATTAGATTAATTATTTCCGAGTGATCTAAAATGATATAAATATACTTTTGTAAAATTGAAGTCTTCGTGAAATTACATGAAGTCTTCAATTTTATACCAGTTTATTTATATCATATACACCAAATTTCATTCACTTTATGTGACATTTTCTTCTTATCTGTATTCTGTGAGTAATTCTACATTCTGAGCATCATTATCAATTATGGGCTTTAATTTTCTATTCCGAGAATGATATTCTGAATCACTTGCGTAATTCGTTATAACATATTAGTTATAACGAATTTCACGTTCAGATCTTTTGTGCTGACTGCAAATAATGTGCAATTAAATCCGCTTTGTGTCTCATGCCATGTGTTTTATTTCTGCTAAATCTTGTGGATATCTAAATATTACGAAATTATTTATGTAAGTAATATTTTATATATGTTAAATAAATTTGTATTAGGAAGTGAAAGAAATTATTTTTATAAATAAAAGTCTTTATGGAAGAAATGATAAAAGCTGCTATGTGAATCGAGGATAAGGAATAGTACAGTCTGAAATTTAATGAAAGTTTTTGCAATACTTCTTTCTTTTCACCATTGACGGAACAGCTGGCCCTCTGGGTTAGGTGCTTTTCAACCTGTTGGATCCAGTCGATGGAATTAAAAATAAATGCATGAAATAAATATAAATAAAGAGCTTAATACTGTGTCCTCCGGGGCCACGAAACGAGGAACATTGAAATAAGGACCAGAACATGGAAAGAAGGTGCATGGTGGAGATTGCTGAGGCTAAGCGGAACACTTTTCACTATTATCGTACATGTTAGGCATACAGTTATATTAAAGATGTGCTATAATAATCAGGTACAGATGTAAAGATGATCAAATACATTGCAAATTGTGGATAATTAAATGAGAATAATGCGTTGTGTTTTTCATACATTCATGACCATGCTCCGGAGGCCCAGCGAGCTGCCGAGTGGATAAAAGTTCGCTGAACACTGGTAGTTCGGTCCGAGGTTCGAATCCCGCGAACGGGCTGGCTGCATGGGTGTTTTCGTGGTTTTTCCCCATGTGTAACGTGTATACGAGCCAGTTTTCCCTTAGAAAGTCCTCCACGAAGGCATCCCTCCCCTTAGGCAGATAGCCCTAGTGTGCTTTGCCATAATTAAATACACATAATATTAAGTATAATTAAAAACAGCAACCAAAAAAAAAACACAAGACATTAAGTAAATTAATATATGTACAGAGCGGGCTGCTGATGTCATGCTGTCCAAGGAAAGAAGTCACTCCAGGCTGTCAGCAATGCTTTTAGCAATGATAGTGCAGTCTCTAATGCAGTTGAGCACATATTTATTCTTAATTGTGTTCTTGTACCATGCCGATATATTGATTGCAATTGGTCTTTTTAAATGTGAATTCCCTGTGTGCGAGCAGTCAGACAGATAGTGATCTGGGTCACCAGTACTGCCACAAATACATTGGTCACTGTCTCTTAGGCGAAATTCGGGAAGATAGGACATATATGGGCCATGCCCTTTCGGATACTGTGAATAATGTAATTATGACAAAGCACACTAGGGCTATCTGCTTAAGGTAAGGGATGCCTTCGTGGAGAACTTTCTATGGGAAACTGACTCGTATACATGTTACACATGGGGAAAAAACCACGAAAACGCCCATGCAGCCAGCCAGTTCACGGGATTTGAACCTTGGACCGAACTCCCAGTGTTTAGCGACTGTTACTTTTGAATAAATAGCTGAATTGGTAACTGAATAAAAATGTAGGCAGGAATCAAAAGTAATTAAACAGGCCAAAATAACTAGCTAAGATAATTAAGTAATTCCCTAAGAGGCATAAAATTCAGTGAAAGAATCATTTTTATCAGAGAAGAGACTATTTGAACAATTTAAAACTAATGCTGCAATCTGGTTTTGAAGTTTAATGTTAACAAAATTAAAATAAAAAATTGTGATCATAAAATTATTTATCCATTACCAGATAAAAGAAGAGTTTATTGAAAATTAAGGAGGTAAAAAATGAAGTAAGAGTTTCAGAAGAAAACCAGTACGAGGTCAACTATAATAGTCTGGATGTTAGGCAATGAAGCTAAAGCTGTATTGTTGTGAAGATGTAAATACTTATTCTTAGAGCAGTATCATTTTATGTTATGCTTTAAATTTAATTTCTAACAAGATATGTATTTAATTTAAGAAAATAAAGCAAAATGTGAAGAAATGGAAATAATGTAGCATTTTGATAGTAAAAACCAAGATGTGGGAATTTGAAAATTCTCCATAGCATATTTCTTATAAGTATGTTTTAATATTAATTATTAAAAGTGACTAATAATTCTTTTAATTATGTTTTTAACTTTGAATCTATTTTGTTTACTCTTATGCCGTCATTATGAGCCCACCAGCAAGTAAGCAGTAAAGTCGCTGAACACAGGGAGTTCGGTCCAAGGTTCAAATCCCGTGAACGGGCTGGCTGCATGGGCATTTTCATGGTTTTTCCCCCATGTGTAACATGTATACAAGTCAGTTTCCCGTAGAAAGTCCTCCACGAAGGCATCCCTTACCTTAAGCAGATAGCCCTAGTGTGCTTTGCCATAATTATATAAACCAAACCAAAACCAAACTTATATATCATTATTCCAAAATTAAAGCTGTATTATTTATTCTGTATCTCTTGATTTCTGTAACTAATGAATTTTTATGTTAATATCATAACCAGCTACCTATTATGACATACATCCAGTTAAGTATTAAAAGGGAATTTATTCTAATTATGTTATAATTCTTTCTAAGAATATGAAATAACCCATGATTCAAAATGTATGCAAGCAAAAATGGTGTGAAGATATTATGATGAAAAGATATGTTAAATAAATTTTTTTTTGTAATAGATACTTACATTTTTATTCATATATTTCATATTTGGGTTAAAATATGTTTCAGAGTACCCCTTGGTAAAGATTGGCGATTTTTTTTTTTTTTTTGGCACCATTGGTGTTTATGTCCAACACTCAACACTTTCCCCAGTAAAATGGCATCCCAAACATAATGCAACAAAACATAATTAAAACAAAAAATATATATTTTCAATAAACTGCATTTTAAATCAAAGAAGGAAATAACATGAGAATGGAAATACATGCCATCTAATCTACATAGTACAAAAAGGAAATATTGACTTACCTTATTTAACAGTTTCTGTTTCTTCAATATGTGTGACACACGGAATTTCTTAACAGCATCCTAAAACTATTTAAAATGATCTAAACAAGAAACTCTATACTACCACTGCCACATTAATTCACAAAAGTAAAAGTAAAAAATATCCTCCAGACTGCCAGACTGTTGGTAGCATTTCATTTGAAAATTCCTTTTTATTACATTCCACATACCTTCCATAGTGTTGAAATGAGCTCTGGTTTTGAAATCCTTAAATCTCGCTGCGTAATTTACCAAGAGGTGAACGAAGCCACTTAAATCTTGATTTAAAAACCAGTGGATCAATGTTTCCTTTCTCAAATCATAACAGGGTCTCATATCATAACAGGGTTTCCATAACGTTCAAATACTCAAGTTACCATAAATGAAAAAACAACTTCGCGATAATCCAAGGGGTACCCTAAAATATAGGCTAACCCATATTTGAATTTAATAAAAAAAAAAAATGTGTATTTTGGCAGGTTTTTTTTTTTTTTTTTTTTTTTTTAATCATTCAAGTGCTAAAATTTTTTGACTTATTTTCAGTGACTGCCTGTAGCAAGCGAACTGATAGTACTGTGATTTAAAAACAAAATACAACGATGGCATTCGCAGGACTCAGGAAACAGATTAATAAGGCCAATCAGGTATATATTTGTTCTTAATCTTTCTCAAGAGAATTAGTGCTAGTTTTATTTTCTTAAAAAATTGTAAATTTGTTTTTATGTGTTTTATTTTTCACATAGTTCCTCTGTAGCTGCAAAATTAAGTAACTGGAAAAGAAAAAGATGAAAAATAAATTTTTTTTCTTATTGTTTAACATAATTTTGCATCCATGACTTAACAAATATATTGTCACAGTTATGAGTGTACAAAAATTACATTCTTATACTTCTCTGTGAATAATAATAAATTAAATTCTTATATTTCTCTTTGAATAATAATAAATTAAATTCTTATACTTCTCTTTCTGGAAAATAAAAATGTTATTCTTGCCCCCCAAGTATTGTTAAGGAGCTTCCAAGTATTAGAAAAATGTTTAAAATAATGGTACCTTTCCGTTTTGCCAGCGCAGGCGATCAAGGTTGCCAGTAATGGTACAACTGATGCCAAACAGAATATCCTCGCTGGTAACCTTTTACGCCTCATTTTCAAAACAAGTCACAGCCATTTCTTATCAGATTGATTGTTTTTTTTTTTTTTTCAATACTGGCATACAATTACACAGAATTTTTGCCAGATAGTTCAATTTTATACCCTAAGGCCATTTGCAGCAATTAAGTCAATTAGGATGCAATCACACCACTCACCCGAAGGCAAAAAATATAGAAAAGGCAACGTCAAGGGTTAAATTCATCCATTCTAATGAGAATGCATTAACAAAGTAAATCACTGCGGGTTTACATAATTTCTGAGTAAGCTATTCATATGAATTGAAATAATTCTTGCATTTAAACTTGTATTCCAAATTAAGATTTAACTTGAAAGTAATGTAGATAATTACTGAGAGAATTAGATTTTTGTAGCGTAGGTCACGTGAGATGAGATCACTTGGGGCCACGTAATATGAACCAGCGAATCAGGATGTTGAACCATGAAAGCATAGTAAATTCTTAAATGAATGTCATTTTACAAATTTATTGTCTTTATTGGCTTTTTACACAATTTTAAACAATATTAAAATGTTTATGTCTTCAAAATAAAAAAATCTTAGAACTAACGTTTGTTAACATTTTTTTATGTGTATACTGTATGTTGTAGCCAATAAAGTCTGCTTGGCGAAATGGAAAAGTAAAAAAATAACATTTTTAATTAACTGGTGTGAAGGAAATATTATGAAATTTAAATCAGCTTGCTTTTTCACGTGCTGATGTTTCTGACAGGGCTGTGGAGTCAGTAGGGAAAATGACCGACTCCGATTCCTGGGATTTTAATGACTCCGACTCCCTCTCTCTCTCTGTATATATATATATATGTAAACATATACACATGGGTTACAGCTTATTTTTTTTAATATAAAAGAAGTAATAAATGCTACAAAAAATTGATGGCATAGCAAATTATTTATATTAATTAACATTTGTTATGAAATGGAAAAACTGGCATTAGTTATTTCTAAGAAACAGTATAGCTTCGGTAAGATTTTCTTTGTTCGAGGGCCATAGATCCAAGCTGATAAACTTCAGAGCTGAGAACTTTCCACACTAACTTGAGTAGGAGGAAGAGTTTTACTATTAGGGCTACTTCTTTTAACTTTTCAGGATATATTTTTCTAAGTTCTAAAAGAGCTGTCTTGCAAGCACAATCATATTTCTCTATTTCTTCAAAGGCCATGTATAAATCTTGTTTGTATTTTTAATTTTTATATCTAAAGGCTCTTGTTTTTTATTTTCATTCGCTTTGCCTTGACCTTTTCAATATTATTCAAAAATATTTCTCAAAATCTAATTCATCGATGGAAAAGCATGATAGAGACTCATTTGCAATGTCTGCAGTTTGACTGTCATGATTCAAATTCTCCAATTGTTCAGAGAATAATTTCATTCTTAATGAAAGTTCATAGGTGACTTTCTCTGCCTTTTTAATTTTTTCGTCATCCAAGAAAATTTGGTGTTTCGAATCTCCATATATTGAACCCAGCAAGATCTCATTGTCTAGCAAACTAGTTTCTCTTTTCTTCATTGAAGAAATGATTCCATCTGCAATAAAGCCTCCATTTCAGAAAGAACAAAATTCACATGCTTCCATTCTCGCCTCCTTGTCAATTATTCAGATTGCAGCTTTTTTTTTTTTTTTTTTGTTTTTTTTTTGTGGCTATATACGGTGTAGAAAAAGAAGAGTTCCTAATTCTGAAAGATCATCCACAATCTTTCTGTTAGTGAATCGTTAGGGTTATCTAGATCTTCTAAAAATGTTCCTTAATTCTAACAGCCTTTTTATCATCAAATATGTACTTTCCTTATCGCGTTGCTTTGATCAATAATTGCTCCTTTTCCTGCTCGCTTCCTAAGAATGGCGTCAATTTTAGGATTTCTTGCTGCTATTGCTGCTTACCTAAATTTACCAGTTGGAGATTTGTAACTAAATGAAATCAGTTTAATCAATCATGGCAAAGTATCACATCCATCTTCCTCCCTTATATTTATTTATTAATAGATGTAAATAAAATAGAAAATAACTATTTATTTATATATACAGTCCATAAATAAAAGCAATAACTCAACTTGTCATTAGTTTTTTTTTCAATTCATTTTAATTTCATTTCAAATTCGAACTGTCCAATGAAAACTGGAGTCTGAGTCGACCTGTTTTTAGCGACTCCTGTTCTGACGCCTTTTACCCCAAAATCTGCCCGACTCACAGCCCTGGTTTCTAAACACCTGAATTTGCCGCTTCTTACAATCTGAAAGCATTTCTGATATTGGTTTAATACATTGATTTTACTGCCAAAATCTTAAGGGCTATACACGCTGGGATTTGTCTGAGCTCGTGCAGTCATTTCCACGTTGGCTAACTCCGCTGTACGTGAAGCTTATATTTTTCAACTCGATCTGCTGTGAAAATTGGTTTTGGAGCAGTCTTGGCTATACTTACTATGCTGCATTGTCAAGTGAAGCCGAAGTAATGGTTACCTTGCTGATATGATAGTCCACGCTGCTACAAACATCGACGCACCTTATGAGCTGTTACTGGGTGTGCTGCGAACATGCCCATTTCCTGATTAATGGTCCGTGATGTGGTTGTATGGTTTTGCAGGGCTGACCTCACAATATGTCTGTCCTCACTGGCATTAGTCATGGTAGGGTGTTGAGATCCTGTATGCCATTCAGCATTACCCTCAACAGTCCATTGATTCCATATTTGCGTGAGAGTGGGTGGATGTCGACCAGTGCGACCCGCGATATCGCAGAACAATCATTAACACTTTCCATAGGCAAAGATCCTGCCTCTATCGGATTTCGAAACTTGCTGGTAAGCATTTTCTCTTCTTATTCGAGGCATAACACAATATTATGGGCAAACACCAACCTTACAAAGCACTTTCCTAATGAGAAATCTATTATACAGTCAAAAGTCTTTAATCCAGACGTCCATAATCCAGAATGATCTATAATCGGGACCTCAAAGCTACAAACTTTCTGCGCATGCATAAATGCATTAATGCATTTATGCATGTGCGTTAAATGTATAACAGACGGTAAAAGCTAAGCTAAAATTATCTAATTATCTATTTCAGTTAACGTTGCAGATTGCATTGTTACTTAATCTTTGAATTGGATCCGACTTATTATTTTTTGCAGACTGTTAGAGCAATTTTATAAAAAGTAAGCTTGAACTTTCAATTATGTCAAAAAGAGTTTCCCATTCTGGAGCTCCCAAAGGGTCTACAAAGCGAAAGCATGTTTCGATGTCCATTTAGCAAAAAGTGGAATTGCTGCAAAAAATGGATAAAGGCATGAAGAAAGTGACAGAGAGGTGATTTGTTTCTCTAACCATTATGAAATCTGTTTAGCAATTTCACGCTGCTCTGCGGGGGAAGGGGGGGCAACGTCGTGGCGCGCCAATGAACTGGAAGTTGGTTTGTCAGCACTAATCCTCATCTTCAGGGGCAGATGTTTGTATTTTATTCGGTTTATAATTCCATCACTAAATGCAGTGTTTCATCTCGATGCTCCTCCGATATGATTTAAATCAATATTCCTCGTCATTATAAATATCACGAATACACATCAAAATAGTTTTGTGTGCAATTTTCTATTTCGACTATGTGTAATGTATGCTTTACGCATGTGCATGTTGAAAGAAATGCTTAATAAAGTAAACAAATAAGTATTAAGTTTTTTTTTAAAATTTTGATACCCTTTAGATCATAATTGCTCTTTATTTCATAAATTACGGTTTCATATTTTTAATTTTATAATTTCTGCATGACATCTTACCAGATTTAAATTGATAATCTATAATCCGGAATCGCCAAAGTCCCGACGAGTCGGGATTAAAGACTTTTGACTGTTCAACTTTTCTTTTATGTAGTGCTTCAGATGTTGTTTCTCCTCATGTGTGATCTAAATGTGTTCAATTACATATCCCAATTTCTTCCTTTCATGTGATTTTGACGTTTGTCAGATCATTCCTTCCTGGTGTTGCAATTTTAATGGCCTGCAGTGTATATTTTTAAGCAGTTTGAGCATGAGATTATATTCACTTATTTATATAATTTAAATCATTAAGTAAAAGTTGCTTATAGGAGCAAAGTAGTAAATTTTTTAAAAAAAAGATTTCCGAACTCTAGTATTTATTGTAAGTTGCTAAGCATTATCAACGTATCAAAATGAAACGGACATTAGCTGTTTAAATTACAAATTTTATTTCTTACATAAGGGTTATGTAATACATTATACATATTAAGATAAATGCATATTAAAATGCATCATTAATCAAGTAGTTAAAACATTCTCAACATACCTTAGGCACACTCTTGTTTGAGGAGATTACAAGAATTCTGTTGTCATTCCTTTCTTTCCATCAGTTAGCTATAAAATTGCACATATTTTACAGAAATTTAAATTTACACTCAAGAGCCAAAACATTATGACCACCTGTCAATAACGAGTTGGGCCATCTTTGGTGCAACACAGCTTCAACC